AAACCAAAAATGAAAGTTGTGATTCTATAAAAATGACAAGAAAAATTTACTTTTGATAATTTCCATAAAAATTACAAGTTGTGTTTTTCCAAAAGGTTACATAACATTGGCAGTTTTAGTCAAGTTTCAACTAGCTTGACTAAAGCTAAAAAAAATGTAAAACCTGCAGCCCTCTGCCCGACTGCGTTCAGTACTGACTCCATAAAAAGCTCAATCCATGCTTCAGAGATACCTGAGTTAGCATCAACAGGTCAAAATTTTACAAAAACCAGAGCTTAGAAAACCAACCACATTATGATTGACGCATCTCCAGTTCAAATGTATCAGAATCTGCATGTTTTCCTCATTTGCCTCTGCACAGATCTCAGAAAGCAAAGAGCAGCAGTGCCTGTGCGGTTTAAAACATTCAGTCACTTCTGGTTGGACTGTCTGACTCTGGAGTAAACCGGTTCCTCCTCTCGGTTCTTCTGTCTGTTCTTTGCGTCCGACTTCAGTTTGAAATCCAGGGCTGCATACTGAACCACCGTTAAGTCTTCGTCCTGCAACACAAAGCAGATCTAAATAGTGGAGTCTGTCTACAAACACAATCTTAACTCATTTTTTAAATAGCTAACCTGAGTGTCAGCAGCATTTCCTGGCTCTTGATGTGATCCTTGATGAGAAAAACAAAATCATCAAAATACTGCAAAAAAAACATAAATCATCTACTAAATATCAACTGGTTGTACCTTCTGAATGATTGATTTTTCTTCTGAAATTTCGACAAACAATAAACATCAGGATGATGTTAAAGATCAGAGACGCAGCCAGGGACGCAGCACCTCCATGCATCAACGCAGGGTCAACCTGTTTCTCTGAGAAAAAATATAGAACACTTTTGCAGATTTGTGGGGGAAAAAAAGCAATAACCTTAACTCTTACCTCCCACATTCAGTCTTGTTCCTGGTCCGAATAGAATCCGTCCGCATGAAGCCACAGCGCAGTGGTACGTCCCGGCATCAGACACGGTCACGTTCCTCTTTGGTAAGCTGTACACGCAGCTGTGGACAGCAGGACCGTCCTCTGGGCTCCGCGCACACGGACCACCACTCTGTGTCGTTGTGTACAGCGTTCCCAGATCGGATCCCTCCGAGTTCTTCCTGAACCAGTAAACGCTGTGGTCTCCGTTAACAGTTCCGGTCAGCATGGTGCAGTTCAGAGTCACAGAGCCTCCTGGTTGGGCAGAGACGGAGTCTGGCTGGTGGAGGAACGTCTTGCAGCTGGAATCTAAGACAAGATGTTCTAAGGATGTCAATAAAAACGGTAAAAATAAGTGCAGAAAGCTTCTAGAAAGCATCGAGTTTCTCTTACTTTTTAGCAATAAAAATGTTCCGTTGTCAAACTCGGTGATGGAGATGCTGGTGTACCCACAGTAGTACAGAGCAGAATCAGAGTCTCGGATATCGGAGATCTTCAGATCATAGAGCCCTTCCTTGGTGTAAACTGAAAGTCGCTTATTGTCCTTAAATTGCCTGTGTAAGGTGTTGGAGCTGGGAAGATGTTTGTAAAAAGTGGATATGATCTGCGGCGGTTCTCCTGGCATCTGCTTGTACCAGTTCAGATGGGAGGCACTGGAGGTGTAGAAGCAATGCAGAGTAACATTGTCTCCAAAGTCGGCGTAGAGAACGTCCCCGTCTGAAGAACATGTGAAGTTTGGCTAGTCAAAGTCCGCAGAATGGTTTACGGATACCTTAAAGCGTTACCGTATCGAGAAGCTACCATCATGATGCAGGAGTGTGTAAATGGAGTGACTTACATGCTTTACAGAGAGGAACCAGGAGTACATAAAACCTCAGCATCCTTCACTCTTCACTGCTCAGACTCTTCCAGTGTAATAGCGACTTCAGTAAACGGGTCGAGGACGAGACTTTATATGTTCAGCGGAAATGACCTCTACTTGCACTGACAATGGAAACAGTGTGGGCACAAAAGGAAGTGAGAAGCTCTGATTTCACTATTTATCAACTTTATTGTTATTATTTCTTTCATTTAAAGCTGGGGTATGCAACTTTTATTGCAAGATGTTTTTTTTACACCCTTGTTAAAGCCGTCACCAAGTTGTGACAGTATAATAGGGGCAGATAATCTGTGAAAAAAGTCAATCTCCTCCCTGAGCTGCCATTACCGTTTGAAGAAATACAGCGCTCCGGGTCAAAAACAACCATTCAGAACTGGAGGAGGGTCTTAGTGCTGTCAGTCAATATTGTGTATGCACTTCTCAACGTGCTAATGCCAGAGAAACAACTTATTGTTACAAGACAACTTTATCCGCCGTCATCGGTGGCTATGCTAACCAGCCGTAACATTTACAACAAGCTCCAGTGACAGGAAGAAGCTATAGCAGACAGCATGTAAGGGAGGAAGTGAGCAGTGTGTACACAAGATGATTGACAGCGCTAAGACTCTCCTCTTGGCTTTAATTGGTTGTTTCCAGTAAGTACTGGGAGCACTGGAAGAAGGCAGAGGGCCTGTTTTGGCTTGACTTTCATCAATAGTAAAAATAACACATCCTTCTGTTTTTGCTGTTTTTCACACTTTTTGACTCAGATCATTCAACAAAATTTAAGTATTTGACAAACATCACTTGAGTAAATAAAAAAAAATGTAGCCTTAAATGATTTCACTTATTAAGGGAAGAAGCTATCCAAACCGAACAGGTGAAAAAGTATTTGGTCCCAAATCTAATTTACCCAACGTTGACGGTCAAAGTGGAACAAAGTGTAAAATCTCTGGTTCACTCTTCACTGCAGAATTACTTCAACCACATTTAATTATGTATTTAAGGTCTCTTCACACTCTGAATCAGATTGAATCTGGATTTTGAATAAGTTACACCAAAACCTGTGGTTTACAGCTGCAGGACATAAAAATCACCTGTAAAGAAAGTGGCCTGAAGGAAAGGCTTCCCAAAAGGAAATGGAGAAACTTAAGAACAGCAGGTTATGAAATATCCCCCAAACTGAAACCTTAAGTTTCCATCACTCATGGTTCACCCCCACACAGAGAGGAACACACTGCCAACGGAGAACAACAACTTGGACAGAGCTGGACCAGACTTTGACTGGCTAGCGTGAGACTTGACAATGGAGAAGGGGCTTTAGAAAGCACATAATGCAAACTGAGTTTTCAATTTATACGTGTTGTACAAATTCACAACAAGGTTACCTCAGATTACGAGAGTTTTGATCCTGAAACATGAATTAGGCCAGAACTGTTGGACAAACAAGGTTTGGACTGTGTGAAGAAGCCAGAGACCTGAGTGTTAGGATTGAGGAGTTTCTGGATATTTAGGCAGCAAATCTGGAAACATGTAAGAAAATAGTAGCCTTCCTTTAGCTAGCCTTTTATAGCCTCTAAAACATTTTCATTTAGAGGTTATCTCATCATTAATTGAAACTGATATTGTGCTAAAGAAAATTTATCACAAAATGTATTATATACAAAATACAAGCTCAATAAAGTAACTGAATTATTTAAAATGTCCTTTTTCAGTAGCAGCAACAGTTTGTTGTCTTGGTGAAGATTGTTGGGAATAATTAGACCTCGACACATTTCTTATATTTCACCAGATCAACAAACTTTACATGCTAATAATCCTTAAGCATAGCAAGTATTTATTTTTAGCTTATGTGGTTCATCCTGTTTTATTTTTAGTCTTGATGTCTGTTCTTTTTAAAACCAGTGATATTGATTCAGGTTACAAAAAAAAAAAAAGATAATAATCCACTCGGTAGAAATACATGTGATCTGCTTTAATGTGCTTCACTGACCAGAGTCACAGACATTCAGTTGGTGGCAGAAATTTTTGAAATAGTCACAACACATTTGATACTGTTAAACTTTAATGTAGAAGAAAAGCAGATAAAAGCTCATGGCATCTTAAAAAATGATAACAAAGCTACAGAAATTATTCATAAACATAAAAGTCAACTATTGCTATTTTGCAATGTTTATGTAACCAACAGACACATTCAAGCTTAATGTTGATTAAAAAAAATAACAAAAGCAAAAATTGATAGACTCAAAATTCATAGAATTATAAGCACATTTACTGAAATGATAAAAAAAAAATGTTTTATAACAATTTTCATTCGACCAAGACTGTTATCATGTTGAGTTCAGAAAACCAGTGAAGCTCATTGGCGACTGGATGTATCTGAGCATAAAAGCATGTTATAATGTTGTTACTTCTCAGTGCAAAGCTGTTAAAGGGTTAATAGGGGAGCAACGTTGTGAAGGCAGAGTTTTGGAAAGAACAGCAGTTTTTAAAGAGACAGAGGCCCATTTTCAATGCTATAAAATGGCACTTTGTGCCTGGAAAACACTGGAGAACTCTGAAAGGAAAAAGCAACACATGGGGAAAAACACCAACAATACGAATCTAAGAAAACAAAATCCAAAAAGGAACAGGATACAAGAATAAACACAAAGACATTAACTCATCTGATAAGTCCTTTTGGATCTAACTGAACAACAGTGAATTAATAAAAACAAGTTATATTAAACACGCGTGTTGAAATGCACTTGGCTGTAATATATATATTTTTTTCCATTCTACTACTAAACCCTGAAGTACACACATTCACTCCAGATAGGATCCTTTCTCCTTCGTGGTCTGTTGTGCAGCACAAGAAAAGCAGCGTAATATGCTTTTTGTGCATTGTAAGCATCCTAGAAGCAAAAGGTTTGTTAGAATTTTACACACCGAAAAAAATACAGAAACTATTATGTTATGTGTACGTCCTTACATAGAAAAGGACTGATGAAAAACAATCGCTCACCTTCACATCTGGCTTATGGGATGGCCCTTTTACAGACTCTGCAAGTAAAAGCAGAAGTTTAGATATTTTTGTATTTTTTGTTTATTTATTTTTTACATTTTATACAGAAAAGGATTAGTGCCACTGAAAAAACAAATCTGACTTTAGTCTTCAGAGAAAAAAGTCAGAATTTTAGAAAAAAAAAGTCAGAATTCTTTTTTTTTCTTTTTTTGTGGCCCTAATCCTAAACAAATATGTTTAAATATGTTTTATTAACAAAGATAAGGTGACACAGTACAAAAAGCAGTTTGTAAATTACCTCTAGAAGCCATGACAGACAGCCATGTCAACAATCAAGAGTTTCTTATAACTGGCAATAAGTCATTTACTTATTTCACTGCGAGGGAATTTCTACCCACTCCTTTCTTAAGAAATATGTGAATTTGCATATTTTTGGAGGGTTTTCAAGCAAGAGCATCAAATTAAATTGAGAGATATCATAATTTGGAGAATACACTCTGGATTTGCTCTTGCTATCTTTGTTCAATGTTGAAACAAGTTTCATAATCTCAAGCAAATAAACGTGGGGGAAGAAAGCAAAACCAGAGGAAATATATCATGAGTCAAATGTTGCTTTTTGCTGCATTGCAAGTATGTGAATTTAAAGTTGTAAAAGTGTTTAAAAAAAGGTGTTACTTGAACGTTTGAAGCTCTTTTTCTTATGTATCACACACAGTAAGACAGCCAGTAAAGCACTCAGGAGGGAGGTGAAAGAAAAGGCTCCGGCCCATAAATAAGTCTCTAAGTTGTTGGTATCTGCAGAAACACAGCAACATAAACTTTCTGTTTCAGTTAAATTAGGTAATTTGTGGTGTTTTTGTTTTGTTTTGCAGCTGCTCACCTTTTAAGTCCAACTTTGTTCCTTTTCCGAACAGAATGTGTCCACACGAGGCAACCGCACAGTAGTAGGTGCCAGCATGAGAGGCGTCCAGTTTGCTAATTGGCAGCTTGTACACACAGCTGTGTGTCCCTGCGCTGGTTTTGTTGTTGCACCGCTTGTTCTCACCCCCTTGGCTGTGAATGAGTCCTGGTTCAGACACTTCAGAGTTTTTAAACCAGTAAACGCTGTGCTCTCTGCTGCAGGTCCCAGTTTGTACCGTACAGTTCAGGGTCACAGAGCCTCCGGGCTGGATGGTCTCCAATGCTGACTGATAAACTGAAGTTTTCAGCTTGGAACCTGTTTGTTCTACATACACCATTGTGCCTTCAGCAAAATCCAGCCTGTATAGGTAGCTGCTTGCACAGAAGTAAAGTGCAGAGTCTGAAATCCTCAGATCTCTTATCTTCAAGTGATTTTTGCCTTTAGTGGTCTCCAGCTCAAAGCGTGGACTGTCTCTGAATTCATCATGGAAAGTGGCGTTCTTGTCGTACTTGTAATAGGTGGAGACCAGCCTTGGCTTCTGCCCCAGATTTTGCCTGTACCAGTAGAACCGTGCGTCCACGACGTTTTCGTAGAAGCATTGCAGAGTCAAGTTGTCTCCCACTTTAGCAAACACGAAATGTTTGTCTTGGCGAACAGATAAGCTGTATTGTGTCTTTGTCCCAGCTGTGGTAAAAAAATAAAACCCCGACATGATAAACATACGACAACTTGGTACAACGCACCGAAATGTGGAACTTGTACATAGACTCACCCATTGTCCCCAAGAACAAGAACATCATATAGACAACAAAGCATTTGCTTATCATGGTGTTTAGTTTGCCGCTCTGATTGAGAAGAACCTCGACCCATTTTTCAGTTTTCATAGATAAGGATGTACAGTATTTGATTGGCCAAACAGACGTGACGCAACATCTGGCATTTCAGAAACTTGGTCACATGTCCACAGCCCTGTGAAACCACTAGTTAGATTGTGCATATAGGCTACAGTGAACAGCAAACGATTCATGTAGGTTTTCATATTATTTATTCCATTTACAACAAACTTTCATAGATTTTATTGGGATTTAGTATTGCAAACACAAGGTGCATCACACTTCTGAAATGGAGAGAAAATAACATGATTTTTCCAGACTTCAACAAATACAAATTTGAAAAGATTACTGTGTCTTTGTAATAACTACCTCTCACTCCTCTAAATGAAAACATTGCCATATCAAATATGTAGCCTGCTTTACCCTAATATCTGACATTAGTACATTGTCAAACCCTTCAAACACCTTCTGGACTATTTCTGATAATATGTAAAGATATATGGGTAAAGGTAAAGTTTAAAACAACCCAATCCAAACTTTTTTACAGGAAAAAAAGTTTTCCTGTAAAAAAAGCAGTCATTTGGCAAGCAGTCACATTGGGCAAGCAGAGGTAATGCAATGCTTCATATTTAAAATATGTAAAAATAAACCTACTCTCCTCTTTGGGATTCCTGGGTCTTAAGCAACACGTCCATCGCATGGCGCATGTGCAAGAAACATCCAAAGGACGTAACAGCATGACGACATCATCCAGCTCATTAAAAAAAAAAAAAAACACACACACACACGCATGCATACACACCTAAACACACACATAAGGACAATTTAGAGTAACCAATTGTTTCTGAAAACTAAATGTCAATCACAAAATGCTCCAACACAAATAAAAGTTAATTTACAGAAACATTTTTACATCAAGAGAGGTTTAACAATTTGGCTGCTAATAAAAAAACAATATGTCCACCTGTAGATTTGCTTTAAGATAAGTTCTTGAAACTACATCACAGAGTTTCAAAATGAAATTTATGCACTCCTGACTTCCTCTGGCTAACACTGGAGTAAACACACTCAGTCTTGCTGCTCTCTCTCTGTCTTCTTGATCTGTTGGACTGACCAACATTTATAGATGCATAGAGGACTGTCATGTCTTGGTCATTAACCTGGAAATACACGTGAAAGCAGATCAGAATATTGATCTTGTGGGAAAGTTTGTACAAAATATTAATAATAATCGCAAAAATGAAGAGGTAACTCCTACCCGCGGTGCAGTCGTAGCAGCAGAGCATTGCAAATCTGTTTCAAAAGAGCGAATTAGTCTCTTAAAGTAGCAACAGGTTCATTTCCATAAATCAAAATATCAAACAGTTATTTCAAAATATAAACATGTAATAAAAGGTTTCTATTATGTGTAAGCTATGAAAATCAAAAACATTTGTTGCATAAATTTCTCGCATTCTGAGTTTCACTGAGTTGGATAGTGGATATAAATTACGTTTGCATGGAGATGGAAATGCACACTCACTTTCACCTGATGTTTTTCTTAGTCTGCACAATAAGAAAACCAGCGAAGCAGCAAGAAGGGTTGTCAGAAATCCAGTTAAAGTTCCAACCACAGCATTCTTCAGGAGGTTTTTCTCACCTGCAGAGAAATCAATCGAAAGAATCATTGATTCCACTTCATGTTTCTGTCTTCACAGGATATGATGCCTTTTACTCACGTGAAAATTCCTGCATTGTTGCGTTTTCAAACAGGATGTGTCCACAGGAGGCAACAGCACAGTGGTAGGATCCAGCATCAGACACGGACGGGTCGTCCATCGACAGGCGGTGGACGCAGGTGTGTGTTGGTGTGTTGGAGTTTCTCTCACTCTGATCATTCTTGCTTCCCTGAGTGTAAAGGAATCCTGGTTGGAATCCGTCAGAGTTTTTAAACCAATAAACTCTGTGTTCTCCACCGCCGCTTCCAGTTTTTACTGTGCAGTTCAGAGTTGCAGAGCCTTCTGGCTGCAGGCTCTCAGACACCAACTGATGGATCAGAACTTTTACATCGGAGTCGAAGCTTTTTACGCTGACGACAGTGCCTTGTGCGAAAGCCACAACTTGCGCATTGCTCTTTCCACAGAAATATGTGGCAGAGTCTGAAATTCGTAGATTTGAGATGATCAGATGATTTGTCCGGTCTCCCTTAACCAAATCCAAACGAGAATTGTTCTTGAATTCACCATGAAAAATGGTTTCTTTCCCGTAGACATAGAAGCTGGCAATCGGCGTTGGTTTCTGTCCCAGGGTTTGTCTGTACCAGTAGATCCGTTCTGAGTCATGGAAACAATGCAAAGTCACTTTTCCCCCAATGGGAGCTGATACGAAGCTGCCGCTTTGATGAACAGGCGGGGTTAAGTTCAGATGAATTTTCTGACCTGATGTTAAATTAGAGTCAAATCATACGATCAATAAAGTTTCTTACGATTCAGTAAAACCATGACAGAAGGTAATGTGGGATATTTAGATGATATTCATAGAAATATTTAGACAAAAAACTCACCAATGGTGCCCATGAGCAAAATCGTTGCCCAGACGACAAACTGACTTGATGTCAGCATGTTTGAAATATGATGATGATTGGAAAGAATTTCAGTGCATTTTCCTCTCTTAGAAGAAGTCTGCACTTGATTGGCCCCTGACAAGTGACGCATGTCCTGCTTAGGAAACAACCATTTTCTCATATCAACATGTCATGTTATATTTTAGTCATAAAAATGTTTGCTGGTTTAAACAGAAATTAAAAAAAAAACTTGAGATCAAATTCATTTTGTATTTCTTTGTTACCTTACATTTAGTTCGGTAAATGTAAACAAACCGCTGAAAAAGATGATCTAACTAAAAATAGATTTAGTAGGCTGATTGATACATCAGATCAATCTATTAAATGATTGCACAGCAAATGTCTTACTTGTTCAGATTTGATTCTTTGCAGATGATGTGATTCTCTTTCCGTTCTTCTCCCGCCAGGAAGGCCGTCCAGAGTAAAAACGTTTGCAGAGTCTGTGTGTGCACAGCTGTGGTGACTGTGAGGTTGCCTTATTGTGGCAACCCCATGGAGGGAAGTGCCAAAACGACATCAACCTGTGGTTCTGCTCAGGCTGTAACCTTCCACATGAACAGGATGTGTTTGTAAGTTACCTGGACATGAGAGTCAGCATCTCCAAGTACATCGTCTGGTGTTTCAACCCAAACTGAAGAGCCTGACATGTTCAAATGTTTAGGTGTCACTTTCCAGATGTAGTTCCCATAAAAACCTGGTTTCTGTATGACAGTAATTCACTCATCACATGTAGCATCAAAAGTCAACAAGAAAGAGGAACTCGATAAAGGTGACCTGGATGAGCTGAAGGAAGTCAATGTGCAGCTACAGATGGCACAATGTGATTCTTCTGCCATGTTAGTTTCCTTTTTATCTCAACACTAATAAGAAAGACAATTTTCTTTTTGTAATATAGTCGAAATAAAGATCACAGAACAAATTATTATATTATCACTTAAAAGTGAGGATTGCATAAATATAGTTTTATAACATTGTTTCAATACGAGAGACAGTCCATGACAACTTTAAAACTGTTGTCTCCGAGTTATTAACTAGAAGGGCTGCATGGGAATTTATACACATATGCTCTCTTTGGACTAAACACATACCTGTCCCACTCCCTTGCAGGCTTCATATAATTATGAAATCTCCTCTGTTTCCATATGAGTAGTTTTATTTCTATGCATCTTTACATGATCATTTTTTTTAACATATCTCTCATGTGTCATGTTTTAAAGAGCTCCAAGTCAGGGATAATTTGGAAAAGAACCCAATAGGGAACATATAACCTGCACAGTGCAGTATAAGGTATGCAAAATCTTAGGTCTTATCACTTTTACTGTCTGTTATGTCTTGCTCAAAACTCAAAACCATGTAATTGTGTGCCACGTTGGTGCTTCTCTTAGTAATATATTCCTTCATCATCTAGTCCTTGATGATGAAGGCCATCCTCATGGATGCAGAGGTTCCATACTCTTAAATCTCCCGTCTCTATTTGAAACTTTTCCAGATCTTTTTTAAACAAGACACCAGAAGTGATTTTAAGTCATCAGTTTGGATTAGGATTCAAGTAGAGTATAAATTATCTACCGTATGTTTGTGTTTTCCATCTGTTTAACTGATTCTTTATCTTAATGCTTTACCTTTTCACTCTATTTGAAATGCTTGGCTATTTGCACTACACGCCTGAGAAAGATTCACTTCTCACATTGACAGAGTAAATAAATAAACTGCTGTGGTTTTCACACAAATTACTCGCTAACAGTAAGTGAGGATGGCAACAGCAAAGCTCTTCTAAGAAATCAAAATAGGTCAGGAGCATGAGGGGCTACCGCTTTGCGGTAGCACTTGATTTTTGCTCCACTGTGACTCGGGCTTCAAAGCAGAAGATTCAGGTCAGTTTTGAGGAGATAAGTTTCCTGTGGGCTTCTGCAACGAAAAGCAAGACCTCATTTGGGGCCCATGTTGGAGGCATTTTGCTGCTTGTAGTATAAATATCTTTTCATTTCTCAAACTGAGTAACTTCATGTAAAGATGGTGAAGACACGTTTAGAACTGAAAGAAAATTCCAAGATAAAGTAAAGTCAGGGCTACAACCCCTTTCATTTGGAGTGATGTGAAAAGCTATTCTTGAACTTTACCCGTTTGCCGTCTTACGACATCCTTTATGTATTCAATTTGAAAAAAAAAAGTAAAAAAAAAAAGAAAAAGAAAAGAAAAACAAGCACAGTCCACCCGTGTATAACCTATAATCTAATTTCAGATGGTACATAAGGGCCTCAGAGGTTTGTTAAAGCACATTAGTGAACATTAGCTGAAACTGGGTGTTGTGCTTTTGGCATGTTTATCCTTCCGTCTGCGTTCATCCTGGTGGACAAAATTCTGATGCTCTTTACTTTCCCCTCTCTTAAAATTCTTCATGTTTTTAAAAAGCAGACGTAGTCCTTTTCTTCGCTCTGCAGGTGTTTGTTCAGCACAAGCCAGGCCAAACCGCAGAGACGCACTCTTTCAAGTCAAAGACCAATTGCCGTCTTTTGATGTAGACGTTCACATGCAACCCGATTTCAAGGTCGTTAGCAATAACCAACGCTGCGAGACGCTGCGCTGTGATCACTCATGTTGCTTTTAATTCAAATTCGTCGTCTGTGGGTGAAGATAAAAAGGGGGCAAAGCTTTGAAACTCTAGCCGCAAGCCGCCCTCTACCAATATTGTCGAACAAGACCAAGAGTGGACCTAACAATCTGAGATGGAAAAAAAAACAGGTTGAGACCCGTCCTCCAGCCCTCCATCCCTGTTAAAAAGAGACAGGGTGGACGTCTTACTGTAAAGCCATATGAACTAAGACACACCATCAAAGCTACGACTACAAAGACATGTCAGGACAGAGCAGCGGGTTCGACTAAACCAGTGGAGCTGAGGTTGACGTAAACAGCCTGGACCAGAGCAGAAACACAGCAGCAACAAGCAGTTTCTGTGTTCTACGTTAGTCGCTGGTTGTAGATATTAAAAACTTTACTGTCCTCAGGAGGCAAAGGGCTGAAGTTCAGGAAAACATGTAACCTTTAAAGCCTGTAAAATGACAGATGTTACAAGGACTTGAACAAAGAGCAGAACATCCGTCGGTTGATGTTCCCGTCTCGAGCAGCACACAGCAACCGTTGACTGAAGTGGCCATTTTTATGTTTTGTCTCTCTGCTTCTTGTAAGCTTGTTACTGCCAACCTTTTTATCTTGGGTCACAACCACATTCAAGTGTTGTGAAATCAAGTAAATAAACCGCCATCGTCATTGTGTTTAATAGGGTGATATGACAAAGTAGACGATTGCCCTCTGCTGGTAAGCACCTGATACTGCTCACTTAGCTGAACTGAAATAATTGAATCTCTGTCTGTCAGAGTACTAAAGATATTTGAGCCTAACTGTATAAGTTTATCACAAAGGCTTGTAGACTTGGTGCCTTGGTCAGATGATAGTTTTGGGATAAAACATGCTGACAGTCAGACGACGCTCTGGGGTTACTGAAGGTGTCTGATTATGACGCAGGAGAGACCAAAACACAACAACCACAGTCAGTGTCAAATCAAAGATACTAAACAGGTCCTACACTCATCGATTCAAAGTGAAAAACTGAAAAAATGCTATTCTTATCTAACACAGGGACTAAAACAAAAAACACATTATATGGCAGGTAACAACCGACTCAGTGTCTTTAACAAAAAGGAGCCTACTTGTGTAAATATAACTTTTAGGCAACTCAAACCACAAACACTTGCAGGTTTGGGATGTGAGTTAGTCCTTTGCTGAGCAATCAGATGTTTACAAGTTAGAGAGGACAAATATTAGGAGCTCAAGTTGAAGTTAGGAAACTTTTATTAAAACAATCGAATGCTGAAAATAATTAAAATATGGTTCAACAAATTAAGCAGTGTGTGCCACTATACAATATTTTAAGTGACCCATCATTGTCCTGTTTTTTCACATAATTAAGAAACTGTTTTGCAATCTTGATGGAAAGATGCTGTAAGCTGCCAAAGGTCCAGTCATTCAGAGCTTACATGTTACAAGAATGAATCATTTCCACTGTTTCCATCTCAGGAATCAATAAAAACTTTCTCCTGTTCTAGTTTTCAGTCGTCTTAGTAAATTCTCAGAAATGTATGCTGTCACACTTATTAAAAACTTGAGTCCCAATTGTTTATTTCAAAATGTAGTTTGGAAATGCTGCTACCAAAAAATGAAAAATAAACATCTAACTTAACTTAGCATTCAGTAATCATACTGAGTTCAGGCAAACCTCTTATCAGACTCAAAGTGACTCTTTGACAAAGAAACTTTATCCTCAGAGGATTGTTGGGTAATAAACCAGTTAAAAAAACCCCAGCTAACATTCATAGTAAAAAAAACATCTTAAATCGCAATGAGAAGACTTTGAAGAACATTAAATATATTTCTGAAAAGCCAAACTCTACTGATGTAAACTGTAATGTGAGTTTCTAAGGATGTGCAGAACTTTGAACTGCCTTGCTGCTGAAATGTGTGATACAAATAAACTTGATTAGTCGACTTGGTACAAAGAAAAGACAATCGGCTCAACATGTTTGCATGGCACCATGGGTACCCAAACGTGTGATGTGTATGTTTGTTTTTCAGATGTAAAATTGTTGTTTGAGAAGCCTGGGAGTCGGATTACATTTGCAAATTACCGTTCTGTATTTGCAAGAGGTGTTGCGCAACAGGACCACTTTGCATGAAAAAAATGTTGAAAAATTAAAAAAATACTTTTTTTCTTCGTTTTTGTTCTGTAGTTTGTGGCGTTAACCTGTTACGTTAACAACATTCAAACAAGGATTGCAGAATCTCATTCCGGCCCCTCGTCACCAAGTTGAGCTGTTTTATATTGAACCAATCATGTTTCCAGTCCTGTTTAGAAGAACATGTCGCTCTCACCAGACTGCGCTTTTAAACACAGAGTTTGTCTTTTTATGTAAGACAAAGCATTGGTGCAACAGAACTGTCATTTTATAGGTTCTGATGTGTTTAACAAACTAAAGGTTTTTAATAGTTAATGTCTATTCCATCAGCAGCTCCTGCCACTTCTGCAGTTCCTTGAGTGTCTGGCTTTGGTCCACTCTGGAGAATTGTGCTTTTGTTACCTGTGAAGTCCTTCTATTACAAATATATCAAGTTAATCAAATACCACATGGCTTTCAGGTTTATTGGTCAATTAAATTTTTGCTGGAAGGATCTATGAGATTCAATTTAAAAATATTACAATTGCATACGAACATGGATGGAATGAAGTAAAATGTCTAGGTCTGACTCTGGACCGTAAATGGTTTGATGATTTTGAAAATGATTTAATTAACTGGTAGCAGCTTCTTAAAAACTTAAGTTCAGAGTTTAAGGAACTCTTGAGAAGTAACTTTAAGGACTTAAAAGTTGTGATTCTGTAATTTTAATAGATAAGCATTGAAAAGTTATCGATGTTTGCACAAAAGAAATGGATCAAGTCAAGTACATTTCAGCGATAATCGTCATCAAACATACATCAACCACGGTTCCGGTTATTGTTAATCAGATGCAGTTCTAAACAGGTGGAAGTCAGCAGAACCAGAACCAGGAGACCTGAGGGGTCAGGAAGGCTAATCTGGCACAACACAATTTGCTTGTTTCAACACAAAGTGGTGCTTGCAGGACATTCGTACAACACGTGCAGCTACCCTCACGCAGCGGTGTTTCCTCAGGCGAGACATTTGCCTGGGAAACACAGCAGAGCTGAGCGTAGACAGACTTCTGTTGTGTGTTCAGCAGAAACATTTGCCTGCACTTACGTATGGCTGTCGTGCCAAACGATTTGCATCAAAAGGCTTAAGACACGTTTTTGTTTTTAAGACTCAAAAACCTATTCGGTCCTCACACAATGTGCCTTCGTAACAGTAGATATCTCCTACAGAGGAGAATCACGATGGAAGGGATTTTATTAGGAGTATTTTTCTCACAAGTGAGTGATTTGTATTTGATTAAACAAATGTTTAAGGGTAGATTACAAAATGATTGTGTATTTTTATCTTTCAGACTCTCTCATCCTCTCCTCTGGTCTCAGCCATCATTACCGCTTTTTCAGTCAGTCTTTGACTTGGACTGAGGCGCAGGCCTACTGCAGACAGGCGCACGCAGACCTGGCAACCGTAGAGAACTCCGAAGACCTGAACCTGCTCATGAACACACTCCAGTCCGCCGGCTACAGCTCTGACATCTGGATTGGTTTGTACAGCGAGATCGACTGGAAGTGGTCCGACGCCTATACTGGGACCGGGGCTGACTACAGGCACTGGAGGAGCGACTTGAATGAACCGGAGTTTGAGAGCGCCAGGCAATTCTGCGTGAAATCCGGGAGCGGAGGAAACTGGTGGGATGACGATTGTGCGTTAAACCTTCCGTTTATTTGTTACAGCGGTAAGGAGATTCATCACGGCTTTTAAAATAATCATAATAGTAATAATAATAAAAATACATTTTTGAAAATTCTGTTCACCGTTTTTCACTTTCTTTTCTGTAGGAACACCGGAGTCGGCCACGCTTTCTCTTCAGAATGAGCAAAGGAACTGGTCCAGCGCTCAGAGCTTCTGCAGAGAGAACTATGTGGACTTGGCAACCGTGAAAACAGATGCAGAAAACCAGATACTGGACAACATAATAGCTTCTTCAGCCTGGATTGGTCTGTACAGGGATCCAAACCTTTTTTGGTCTGACGGGAGCGACTTTCTCTTCAGCAACTGGGACTCTGTCATTAATCCAATTGGCTCCATGTCAGTCATATGCGGCGTTACGTCTTCTGGGCGACTGGGGAAATGGAAATTTTTGCCCTGTGAAACTAAATTACCTTTTGTCTGCCACAGCGGTGAGTATTTTACTGCAAGTCTGCAACCTGCACTACAGAAGAAAAAAACAAAAAAAACAACAGAATCTAACTTGTGTGAACATCTGTATTTTTACATGGTTGTTTATTTAATCTTATTGTTGAAAACAATGATATTAAATATCTCCTCTTCTTGATTAACCAGTATTTAGAAAGGCAGTGAAGCTGAGACTGAATGTGGAGAACGCCGTGGATCCGAACGACCCGGTTCTGAAAGCAAACATCCTGACAAAGGCAAGTCTGACAGGAAGTCTTCATATGCATTACACACACGTTAGTGTATGCATTTTGGATTTTATGTTATAGTCCATCTCCGACAAGCGACAATATCTGTATGTCTGTCTCTCTATATATCTATGTATCTATGTAATCCTGATAAGGTACATATGACAAAGGTAAAGGGTGAATGCATATGAAAAGTTTGCACAGCTTCCCTTCAGTGCATAGTTCAAATGAGAATATTTTTTGATAAAACAAAAACAGACTGTTTTTCCTGAAATGGTTTCTGTGTGTGTGTGTGTGTGTGTGTGTGTGTGTGTGTCCCAGCTCCAGGACAGACTGCAGCAGAGTGGAGTGAGTGGAGCCGCCCTGAAGTGGAGCGAGCGACCTGATGGAGTTTTCCAGAGAGAAAAATGAGATCGAAAATATTATCCATATTCATTTATGATGGCTCATTTTTACCATGTACCTAAATACTCCATAAATAAAACCGCTGCATGCTGCCTCTGCCAGCATGTTGTCCTCCACACATTGAAATGTGCCGAGCTTTGTCATGTGGCGTTTCAAACCTCCACATCACTCAGGGAGCCTGAGGGTAGAGTTCACAAAACTTGTAATCGAGTTAGAGTAGCACTACTTTGGCATAGCTGGAGTGATAGTTTATAACAAAATGACTCAAGTAAAATGTAGGGTTAAGAGTAAAACTATTGTTAAAAGTCATTTTTTTCCCAAGAAGTTACTCAAGTAAATGTAACAAGTTGCTACCCACCTCTGGTCCTCCCATGTTTTCACACACAACTTCCATGTGCTGTAAAAAACAAAAAAACAAAACATAGTTTATCAGACAAAGCTATATTCTGTTTTTCATTGTTTCCAAGTCCAGCGTTGATGTTCATGTGCCCATTGTTGGTGTTTGGGGTCAGCATGTTTCCCATGACTGATCTGGAGGTTTGAAACACCAGATGACAAAAAAATAAACTACAATGTTCTGGTCAAAAACCAGCAGCTCCTTCAGTAATTGGACCTAAAGCAGGTCATCAGTGGTCATCCCATGGTTAACCAGTATAGACCTGGAAATGTACACTATCAATCCCATATTTAAATAATAATAATAAAAAACACAATATGTGAAATCAGTTGCTGTCTTGTAATTTCTGCCGTCAACCTTTCTCAGACAGAACCAGTTAGCCATGGCAGTAATAGTATTACACATGTCACCGCATTTACCCATATCTAAAGATTACACTCCCAATTGAATCTTATTTTTATAAGTTCAACTAAACATTTGTTATTACAAGCATGTGAACCCGGAACCATTATAAACTCAGCTGCTGTATGTCTGACTAATTCAAAGACTAGAAGGAGTCGGACGGATTAGTCAGACGGACTTCAGTGGATAAAAAAGATGAACGAATCATACACAATATGACACATGACAGAGTGTCGGAGCTCCGAAAACATAACTAGCTCTTTCATATTTTTTCTTCTTCTAACTTCTTCTTTCTTCTTCTATATACCATTGGAAAAGGCATGGAAATTCCACCAGTGCACAGGAAAGATAGAGCTATGCAACATCAAGCCATGAAAACTTTATTGTGCAGGAAATTTGATGTTTGTGCATTATGCTATCATGTTATGACAGTAGACATATTTATATCAAAGGAACATCCTTTTTTTAATGCAAATTCCAAAAAGATGTTCCCAATGCTCTAAACAATTCTCTTATTTAACTAAGATTTCTTCTGCACTGAAGTCACAGCTAACCCAGATTTTGTTTGATTTTACCAATGCCAGCAGCTCCCTCTAGAGGGAGCCAGCTTGTATTACAGCCTCCTCCCTTCTCTCATTCTCACCCCTGTGGTTTCAGAAGCACATTATCCCCTCAGAACATCCCTCCTGTCTCCCATCTTATTCATGCTCTTTTCTTTATTTGGCCACATTGACTAAATGAGTCGATTAATTTTCCATCCATCCATCCATCCATCCATCCATCCATCCATCCATCCATCCATCCATCCATCCATCCATCCATCCATCCATCCATCCATCCATTTTCTTCCGGTTATCCGGAGTAAGACATTACTTAAAAAGGAACTTAAAAATGCTTGGAAGCAGTTAGAGCATGTCCTGCAAAAACTCAAACGGTATAGCCATGACGACCATCGTTACGTTTGGATGAAACATGCGAACTACAGGAACATCATTTTAACTGTTGAGTATGGAGGTGGCAGCGTTATGTTGTTGGGTTATTTTGCTGCAGTAGCCAACAACAGTACCAACTAGAGGAAATAATGTAATGTAAATATTGGCAAATGTAAGCAAATAGAAATAATTTTGGTAATTCTAACTGACCTATCCAAGAGATTTTAACTTCATTTAACTTCAGACAGTGAGGAAAAAGGTGTGACTTTTTCTTCAGTGTATGTAAACTTCTGGTTTCAGCTCTCTATACTGAGGCTGAGGTGGAAATGAAACAACCTGAGAAGATAATCAGAGAGAAGTGGGAACAGCTGAGGAAGAGCACAGGCAAGAGAGAATGAGGTGACGGAGAACAGCTGGGACGAGAAGCAGGTCGACAAGAAGAAAGGAAGGAAGAAAACCTGAAACTATCAAACAATAAACAGAAAGAAACATAAACAAACAAGAAACAAGACCAAATTCACAAATGATAATCATTGCATAAAGGTACTAATATAAAGGAATAAATTAAAAAAAAAGAAAATGGTAAATAAACAACAACAACAACAAAACCCATATGTAAGCAGAAACCTAAACAACGAAAACTAAATGCTGGAGAAAGTACTTCCTGCAGTACTTACCCCTGCCCCTCTCATGATGCCCCTCCCCCTGATATGATGCCCCTCCCCTGTCATCGACCCAAATGAAGTTAACCACAATTAGACTTTTGTGGTTATTTTTCAGAAAGCTTCACAGTGGGCCGTCCAGTCAGCATCAGAATCTTTTTATATTATGATTTTACTTCTGCTAACAGCTTCCTGACGTCTCGTCACTTCAGTCAACTCAACATGAAGAACTTTGTCTTCATAGGAGCTGTTCTCTTCAGCTGCTGTAAGTTTTATTATTTAATCTCTTCAAATGCATTAATAACTTTAACATTTAGCATAATTTGGAAGTATTGCTCAAGAAATGGTGTTTTTTTGGTCATAAATCTCTGGTTTCTAATGTTTCAGGCTGGATCTCTGTTGTTTCTCAGACAGTGTCTGTTCTGCCAGGTGAAAACGTCAATCTGCTCTGTAACAAACATTCTGGTCCTCCGTTGTTCTGGTTCAGATTAGTCAACAGAACCAGGATCAGTTGTATCTCTGTCAGTTTGTCAGGATCAACCAGATACTGTGATGAATTTAAAAGTGGATCATTTAACATTTGGTCCAACTCGTCCACATCAGTTCTCAGAATAAATCAGCTGAACGTTTCTGACTCTGGACTGTATTTCTGTGGATTTGCTACCAAACAACATCGACTTTTCACTGCGACTCAGTTACATGTGAACGGTGAGAACGTTTTTTAAAGAGACGAGGTTCTATGTTTTTGTTGTTCCATTATAATCTTGCATGTTCCTTTCATCTTTAAAAGGCACTAAGGAATTTGAAGGAGAAACTGAGATTAAAGGTAAGAATCGTTTGGCTTTATTAGTCATGGTTATTCTTTAATAAGACACATTTTGCTTAGAATACTTTAAATCAACATTTTTTTTTTTCAGAAAAAACACCTGAATTCAAAACTCTCCTAATCATTTTTCTACTCTGTGCTGCGAATGGTCTCTTGATTGTCATCATCATCATCCTCATCATCGTCTGTTTGGTTTGTAAAGCTAAGAAATCTAAGAAAGGTAACGCTGAAAAAATGTTGGGCTTTATTATTTATCGATTTTTGTGTGTGTGTTTATGTCAGTAGTCTTACTAACCCACTACATACCTAAATATACAATAATGTATCATTAGAAAAACATTTATGTCAAGTCATTTCCTGCAAATGATTTGACATAATTTACCTACCAAAAATTTTTCTCTACAGTGAAAATATTCTAAAAATAAGAACAATAGTAATAAAAAGAATAACAAACCAGGCATTGAGTTGAAAAAGTGTGTGTGAGCGAACAGACCACAGATCGTTCCTGTCAGAAGGATAAGACACATTAAAGTGTAACAACTGAGCTGTGAACGGGTTTGGCTTTAATGTAACCAAACTGTTGCTCCAATGCAATAGCAGGTTGCATCACAACGTAAGCATCTCACATCAGTCAACATCAATAATTATTGGCTAGTTTTTATGTTTTAAATGTCCAAAATACTGCCAAACTAGTGACTTGACTTATTTATTTATTTATTTATTTTTTTTACTATTTAAACCGTTATAGGGCATAGTGGTGAAACTTGGAACTGTATCTATATGCGCAGGCATGTGTGTGTGTGTGTGTGTGTGTGTGTGTGTGTGTGTGTGTGTGTGTGTGTGTGTGGGTGTGTGTGTGTGTGTGTGTGTGCAGGTGTGTGGGTGTGTGTGCAGGTGTGTGGGTGTGTGTGCGTGTACATGTGTGTGTTATGTGAACTGTGTGTGTTCTGTGTGTGTTCTGTTTACAGGCTTGGTAAACTTGTTAAAATAGCTAACTTGTGACTTTAATTGTGAATGTGATAAAAAGCCTATTATTTTTCTAAAATAAAGTGCTCTTTACTTCACTTTATATTTAGAGTCTTATAGGAAATTGAGAAATTTTTCGCATTTTTGATCAAAAATCCTGCAGACTTGTTTGTTTTCTGATGTCTCTTTTCTCATTGAATCTTGAAAATTCCAAACATTAAATTGTGTCTGACTGCAGAAAGACTTTCATCTCATTCCTCTGTTGTTTCTGTTTCTGTTTCTCAGCTGACGATTCCAGCAGAAATCCAGAACAGAGTGAGGTAAATACAGCATCTAGTTCACCTTTAACCATTTTACACCATCACTTTTTTGTGACTTTTTTAATTTTTTTTTTATTCTGATTCCATCTACAGGACGCTGCATGTATTTACGAAAACTGTACAACAGGTGTTGTAAGAGTTAATACTATCTATGATTCCTATTGCCTGTCCTGAGGAAGAAGCTGAACTTTGATCTGGAGCAAAACGGCTCATTAATCTGCTGTCTTGATCAAAATCCTACGAAACATATGTCCATAGATATAATTAAAATGATTTGTGTAAATAAGCAATGGAAGAACCTGTCAGATACTTTATGATTCATGATTTCTGTAGATTGCAAATGACTGAAATAAATGAAAACAATGGAGAATCACACAGGGTTAACATCACTCTCTCTTCTTTTGGATATTTTTTAAAAGTCATAATAAATTAAACTGTCTAAACCATGTGTTGCTTTTTGGTATTATTAGTTTTTTTTTTAACACAAACTCCACTCCAACATATGGTTAACACATTTAAATTAACTATATACTTAAAGACACGAGGGATTTACCTAGTCTGCATTGATCACTAAGTCTGAAGGTGAACGTCTGATCAACAGTTCATAGTTTCAAACTCAAGCTGACTTATCTTTGGGTGCAGGACGGCAGCGCCACATTAACTACGTGGCATAAAAATGAAAACTAACGAAAGGTTTTGAAGCGGCCTAGTCTAAATCTGGACCAAAATCTAAATAAGCTGCTGTGGCATTCACATGAAGGAGCTGCTCATGCTTTTAGAAACGTCCATTTGGCCTAATATAACAATTCAGCAAGAGTTGGCTAAAATTTCTCCAAAGATGTAAAAAAAAAAAACTGATTCTAAATCATCACAAACATCTTACGGCAGCTGTTACCTGCAAGGGTGTCATTTAATTTGTTTATGCAGTGATTGCTGTTCGTTGGATTTTTCACATTTGCCCTTGTGGTATGTGTCAAAAACAGAGGCTGAGCAAATTCATATCGGTTTATTGTTGGTTTTGCTTATGAGAAAACAAACGGCTTTAGATGCCAAGAGGATGACTGAAGAGCTACAGCTAAAAATGTCACCAGAGAGAAAAATGACATCGAGCTCCAAACCTAGAAATAAACCCGTACGTTTGTACTTTTTTATTTTTATGCATAAGCAATGAAGAAGCTGCTCTCACTCATTAATGTGCAAAGTCAAAAAGAGGAAGGACAGCCTGAGGAAGATAAATTTAACTCTGTGAGAGATGAGGCAGTTGTTGATGCTGTTCTGCTCAGCGTCTCAGACGTGACACTTTTTCGACAGCAGCAGTGTCACCAGCAGGGCTCGTCCAGGAAAAGCAGAAGTAGGCAGGCCTGACCGAGCTTTGTTTGTTTGTGGAGAGCAACAAGTTTGGTTTCACTTGTCATTTTCCACCGTGGCGACGCTTCTTATAGTTTGTCTTTGGTTCTGCATTGAAACTGGACTGCTTTTAATGCAAAGCGTGAGTCTAGTATAAAAAAATATAAAGATGTTGGTGTTGTGTTTTAAAGTCAAAAAAGGAAACTCTTAGGCTAATTAGCTGGGTTCTGCTTCTGTTCCTGACAAATGGCTGACATGTTCAATTAAAAATTATGTAACCAATGCATGAACAGGAACAACGTGCATATTCACCACATGAAGGCCCTGATTTTCTTTCTTTCTCAGAAATACAACAAAAACTGTACACCGAGTTTATTGGCTTTTTATATCAATGTACTTCAAAATCTCACAACGTGGAAAATCCTAAAGCTGTCAATGGTGTTTAAAAGAAAATGAAGTTAAAAATAGTAATAGTAATAATAATAATTTACAACATAACACAGCACAAAGCACACTGACACTTGAGAGAGCAGAAGATGAAATCAAACCCACACCTTCCTGATTTGAAGATTCACTGTGTTAAATGTCTCCTCCTTCATAGATATGCTTCATGTCTTTAAAGTCTAACTAATCTAAAATGTTATGTTGGTAAACTGTCTAAATTTAGGGTTCCTGGTTGTGCTGTGGTGGTGCAGAGGTTAAGCACAACCCACATATGGAGTCCTTAGTCCTCGACACAATCGTCGCAGGTTTGAGTCCCGGCCTGGCGACCTTTCTTCCTCTTCTCTCATTATCCACTTTCCTGTCAATTCACTATCAAATAAAGGCCACTAGAGCCAATAAAACCTTTAAAAAAAAATAAATTTAGTGTTCCATCTTCATGTTGACATTTTCGCGGAAATTCATTTCGTTCTGCAACACGTAGCCTAAACCTGCCTCAATATCGACCTCCTTAGGTTAGAAAGTGGCTACAGTATTTGAACCTTCCTATTGGTTACAACGGTTGGGCTTAGTGCTGTTATTAAACCATCTGACCCCGACACACTGCCCCTAGTGGTGGCGAGTAAGAAGCACATGGAGAGAACTGATCGATAGCGTTTCTCAACTTTTGCTTTTTTGGAAAAAAATAAATAAAAAATTACTAAATGTAGCAACAAAGTATATAAGTTGGTAACAGTGCATCTTTCATCAGGACCTTTTCCCAGCTAAACTCTTTCTCCTCGGCTTCGCGCCACCCACTTTGAATTTTTCAAGTTGCGTTCACACTGAGGTTGGTTACGCTTTAATGTGTTTTATCTCTGTTCGTTTGTGTTCCTGTGAAGCTCTTTGAATTACACCGACTGTACATGAATGGTGTCAAACACACAAACGTCTCTTCCTGCCTTGTCTGATGGGGGCAGGTCCAGCAACATAAGCAGAAACCTTAGAAAAAAAACTTTGACACTTTTTATTCCTTCTCTCTCTGCAGCAGCCTCATTGGCTCTCGGTTCTTTGCTGCAGTCAACAGGAAATGAAGAACTCTGTCCTGATAGCAGCTCTGCTTTACAGCTTCTGTAAGCACTGACTGCTTAATGACTATAAATGCATCATAATGTCTGCAGCTTCAGCAGAATGCATTATTCTGGACTTTATTTATTTTCTGCTCTAATTCAGACTGAATAACTTGTTTCCTCTTTGTTTCAGGTTGGACGTCTGGTTCAGTTTCTGGGTCTGAGATCCTGACAGTTCATCAGGGTGAAGATGTCACACTGCAGAGCGCCAACATGTTCTCTGATGGTTCAGTGACGTTCTGGTTGAGAGTGATTAATCAAACCAAGACCAGTTGTATCTCTGTGATTAATGGAGTTCATACAACCATTGATTACTGTGAAGGATTTGATAGAAAATCATTTGAAATTACCGTGAACTTCTCCAATGTTTTACTCAAAATTAAACGTGTAAATATCTCAGACACTGGAATATATATTTGTGGACGTTACCAGGGTGGAAACCTGAAGTTCACTGTGCAACATTTACATGTAATCGGTGAGAACACTTCACTTTATGTTGCTCTATTATTTTGGCTTCTTTAGGGAATTTTTTTTTTTTTTTTTTTTTTCCTGTTGGTTTTTTTTTTTTTTGAGAAAAACCAAACTACATGATGCTGTTTGTCATTCCTGGTTCCGGGATCGTTGTGCTCCTCATCATCGTCATCATTCTGATCATTCAAGTGATGAAAATTCAAAAAGGTAACAGTCAGAAGAGCATAGCTTAGAAAAGGCAGTACCTTTTATACTCTGCATTCTTTTAAAATCCTGCACAGAATTCAGAGCACTCTCCCATTTATGTACATTATCGTTGAACATTTTTTACATTAAATATATGTGTATGATTCAGGAGAAGACATTCTGCAGTAGCTCGACATTGTGTGATTAATGACATAACTACCATGTGTTTCTGTCTGTTCCTCAGCTGCAGATGGAGACACAGATCATCATCAGCATCAGGTGAATATCAGTCTAAAGTTTCTCCCGCACGTTTTCCCCCCAAGACTTTTCATTTCCAAACTACAAAGTACGCTTTCTAAGTGACATTTTCTCGATGCGGCTCACAGATTCCTGACTCGACTGAACAGAGCCGCCCTGCAGAGGCTGAGAAGAAGAGGAAGAGGAGAAGAGCGCCGCCGGAGCCGGAGGTCGTGTACGCATCCTCCAAGAAACACTGGAACAGGAACTGAACCGCTGCCCAGAGTGGAACAGAAAACTTTTTAATTTACTGTTTGGGTAAAAACTCTAAGCAGAAGTCATATTTTTGCCTGTGTGATGTCACTTTGGTTTGGTAGAAACAGTCTTTTGCTGTGAGCACACAGACAGGAAGATGGTATGGAGATCTTCATGATGCAGTTTTTTTTTAGTTTGAAGCTTCATGAGTATAATTAATAAATATTTTTTGTTTCAAATCAAAAGTTTGGTATCTGTTGGGTTTAAATGCTACTGCTATACGGTCTTCAGAACGTCACCTGACCTTAGTTCTGAATTATTGACAGATTTCCTGATAAAAAATTGTTTTGGAAAAGTCATGCAATAACCTGTTTAATCATCAAAGTAATAAAGTGTAAAAATTGATGGTTTGTTCCTTTACTGCTCCCTCTGGGAAGGTTTTGTCAAACTTTCAAGGGTTGGAGTGTCTCCTTATTTTAATAAATAAATCAAAAATAAATATTTGAATTTCCAGTGTGCCTTGCTTTTTATTTATTTATTTTTGCTTAGAAGGTTGTTTTCATTAAAAAAATCATATGAGATCATCTATGTTAGAGGATTTTCGGTATTATCATTTTGTTATTACTTTAGTTCACATTCAGTCTATAGATCGTTGTAATTTTCTGTTTAAAGTGTTCTCTTCCTTATGTGTGTATAAACTGACCTGGAGGTCAGGACTGTCTGTTTCATCTTCATGTGAAACAGTTAACTCTGTGTTTCCCAGACCTTAATTCTTATCAACCAGAATACCTCCTAACTGCCTGTGAGCAGTCGTATTTTGTCTCGTTTATCCTCCCTCTTTGTTGACAGTTTGACCTAGAGCTGAACTGGGCTCAGATCGTAGATCAGATATCACACCTGGAACTGAGTTGCTGGTTTGTTTAGGTTAAATTTTTTACGGCCTTTGTTGTTTTTTTTTTTTTGGCTGTTCTGCTTTGACAATAAAACAGGGGCTCACGCGGAAGCAGACCAGAATTCTCTGTGAACGGCCAGGAGAGGTGGTTGGCGGAGATTTCTCCTTTTGCAAAAGCCTTGCCTTAAAATTCATATATGTTGTCTGTGGTTCTTTAATATAGGTTCGAGAAGAAAGTACCTATCAATCTATCATATGGGCAAATAGATGTACAGCTTTTTTTTCCCCACTATGAAGCATCAGTTTTACACATGAGTGTGGGATCATCACGTTTTCAAGTTTACATGTTTTCAAGTTTACATCAGTGAGAAATGATGGTCAGTGGCGAGAGATTTTTGTCGAGAACGGCGAGTTTGAGGGTGGAACAGAGTGCAGACAAGGGTCATGTTTAAAGGTCACGTTTAAAGTCCTTAATAACAAAACTGAAGACATACAAAAGGAACACACAGGAGAGACAGGTCAGTGGAAAAATCCAGCAGTGAGTGACAGAAAATTAGGATTGTGAGGAGCTTTGATTACATGACAGAGAACAGGTGGCTGTTTAGAAACAGGACGCAGCTGAGAGTGGAGACCAGGTAGGCAGGCTGAGGGAGAGAGAGAGGAGGTAATGGCTTAAGACAGGGGTGTCCAAAGTCAGTCCTGGAGGGCCGGCATCCTGCATGTTTTAGTTCTCTCCCTGGTTTAACGGACCTGGATCCAATGATGGCTCATTAGAGGACCTAAGGAGAACATCGACATGCTGGAAAGGTTATTGCTACCACCAGGGAGAGAACTAAAACGTGCCCTCGAGGACCGATTTCGGGCACCCCTGGCTTAAGAGGAGCGGAGGAGAAACACAAACAAGGATCTAACAATAAATAGTAACAGAATCAACTAAAAACAAAAGAATGAACTGCCAAAGATAGGCAACAAATGAATAACAATCCATAGAAATAAGTGAGAATGGCTGTAAAGGAACAAATAAGTGTTGCTGTCAAGCATTTATTTAGCTGTCTTCATATCTCTGTTCAGAAGAGCGGGCCATAATTGTTCTGACAGTCATGGAAACTTCTATTTTCTCACCTCTTCGCCCTGCGGTCACAGCACAAAGACAACTGCAGAGACTTTGGACAGCCTGCTCTCAGTTCATCTTTACCATGTAAAGACACTTGTTTCCAGGAAGAGATGTTTGTAAGGCACAGTACATGCAAATTAAAGGGTTTAGTAGGAACAAATTACTTTTGGTAAAACAAAATAAAAATACATTTCCCCTGTATTTCACATATGCTGAATGAGTTCTACCGCAAATGTAATTCAGTAGAAAAGTTTAATTTCAGAGAGATTTCATGACAGATCTTTTATGGTAACATGTTAAGTAACTTCTTAAATTTAATTAAGCCATCAGTATATTTTTAAAAGATGAGTCTAACTCTCCTCTGAGAGCTCTGTGTGTTTTGATGCATGGCGTTTCACAGCAGAACCAAAGATTCAACCACGATGGAAAATGACGACTCAGTGCTTGGTCACAGCGTTCTGCCACCACTGGCTGGAAACACACATGTACATGTTCAGTTTAGTGAACAACCATTTTCACAGAAATAGCTGTTCAAAGACCATCGGGGTGAGAAGTTGAATAGAGGAAGTACAGGCTGATGATTTGTATTTTTCATATCAATGAGAACATCTTGGCATCTTAACCGTAATGAAATGACACCAACTCAGCTAACAAGTTTAACCCAACAATACAAACATGAAAGTCTTAAAAGTATATTATGGGCAATACAAGACAAATTACATGTTGAGGATGGGCTTTCTGCCAATCAAAAAGTGTGTTGGACATTGTTTACCATGTTTTGGTGGTTACGTTTCTTGCATTTCAAGTTGTTAAAGGAGGTGATGTGCAAAGTAAAAACCGAGGTCACGATAAAAGAACTGATCTCTGACGCTGACGATGTGAAGCGGCAGCGTTGACATGGCCTGCTGGCTCTTCCTGTTCTCTGTTTTCTTATAGTTTCTGAGTTTCTCAGTCTCCTGAGTCATTGCTCCTGTCTCTGTTGGTAACAGTGGTAAATGGCTTGTGCAGTACTTTATCAAGTCCAGAGGTCTTGAACCCCTTAACACTACATTCAGTTATTCAACCCATTCGTAAGGGGGTGATTATGGGAAGCCACTGGATTGTAGCCACGGCTATGTGACACAGGCGAGGCAGCCATGCACCAGCATCACCAGGCCCTCTGTCCACCACCAGCCAGCAAGGTGGGCTAAGTGTCTTGCCCAAAGACACAACAACAAAGGCGGACAGTGAGGGAATCGAACCAGCAACCAACCAACTACAGGACAAACTCCTATTAACATTTACACCATCATCCCATGTTCTGTGATTGCTCTCTCAGATTCAGATTTTTTTTTCTTTTTGCATGGTTGTTCACATTATTTATAAAATGGTGCAAATATCTGATCTCAGTGGGAACTGTTTGTGGTTCCAAATTAACCCCCCATGTTAGTTTATAAATCACTGAAAGGCTTAGCATCGCAATAAATTAAAGATCTGATGTTGTTGTATCAACAGACCTCTCACGTCTTCTGGTTCTACTCTGCAGAACCAGAACCAAATATGGAGAAGCCACATTCAGTTCCTTAACACCTCAAATCTGGAACAAATTTTCAGAAAACTGCTAAAGACACTGAAACCCTGTTGATGCGTTCACACCAAATGCGTTTTGAGCATCAGTCGCATCTGGTTTACATTCAAGTTTATGTGGAGCATCGGACACATTGGACACGCTTGCCCTATCAAAGGCTCAAAGCACTCCAAACGTTTCAAATCCCGCCGCGCTAGATGCTAGAAATGTGCCTCAACAGGCCCCTGAGGAGCCTCCACAATAGACTTTGAATATAAACCACACGTGCCTGATGCTGTAAACGTGTTTAGTGTGAACGCACAATAGCACCTCCTGCCAGTGCAGAGATATAACAAAAGTGATATCAAAGTAACATCAAAACCATTTGGTAGTTCTGTCCGGAATCACATTCAAATTACTGGATACGAGTCGGATTCAGGACCAAACATGTTCCACTTCACTGCACCTGAGCCTAGAAATTGATTCAACAGGAGGTTTGATAGATGCTAAAGAAAATAAACTACTTTGTCTACAAGAGAATCAAGATTTAAAAACAATCAAAATGATAAAACTTAAGCATATGTTTATTTATCAATGGGCCGCTCAAAGCTCATCAGCTAAAATAGAAATAACTCTATTCAACAAGTTTCAAGGTGTTGGAGGCTTTTAAACTCAAGGAATGGATCAACATTGCTGTTGCTGCAGCACCAAGCTTATGGAGAAACACCAGGTTGCTCTAAAGTTGAGAAAATGTTTTGATAATGCGATCAAAGCAGAAACATAGCATAAAATACACAATTATGTTGCATTTTCATCTATCCATCAGTTTTCTGTAGACCCTTGTCCCTAGTGGGGTAGGGAGGGTTGCTGGTGCCTATTTCTAGCGAACATTTCGGGCGAGAGGCAGGGTACACAAAGAGACAGGACAAACAACCATGCACACACACCTAATGAGAAACTAGAGAGACCAATTAACCTGACAGTCATGTTTTTGGACTGTGGGAGGAAGCTGGAGTACCCGGAGAGGACCCACCATGCACAGGGAGAACATGCAAACTCCATGCAGAAAGACCCCAGTTATAACAATTATGCTATGAATAATATTTTGTAATGACCTACATTTCTAAAACATGATGTTGCTTAATAAGATGCCTGGGAAACTTATTTGGTAAGATTAACAGATTTAACGAAACATTCAATGTTTTCCTTTTGCAACATCCCTGTACCCAACGTGTTCAGCTCAACCAAAAGAAGAAATGACTAAAGGAAAAAAACAAAGTCCACACCTCCTGGTGTTTGCAGTGCTCTGAGTGGAGCAGCGCTCATTAGCGGACGCTGCATTGCTGCAGTCAACACACCATGAAGAACTGCACCTTTATACCAGCTTTACTTTACTGCAGCTTTTGTAAGTTCTGACGCTGGATTAGTAATGGATGGATTCACAACTAGCAAAGAAAGGAGAATGTGTTTAATTTATTTAAAAGGAATTCAAAAGCTTTTTTCAAGGTGAAAGTAAGTCCTCTGTCTGATGTTTCAGGTTCTGTTTTAGTCTCTGGGTCTCAGACGGTGAAGGTCCAGCCAGGTGACGATGTGACACTGGAGTGTAGGAAGAATTCCAGTGGATTATCCTACTGGTTCAGACTGGGAGAGAAGAACAAGGCTGACTGTATCTGTATCATGATTAATAATGACCCTGGCAGTGTTAAAAACTGTGACGGATTTCAGAAGGAAAAGTTTAACATGAGCTCCAACAGCTCCACCGTCTCTCTTAAAATCAAAAAAGTGAATCTTTCTGATGCTGGACTGTATTTCTGTGGTGTTAAAAAAGATAAATCCATAGCTTTCAATGTGATACATTTACATGTGAAAGGTAAGAAAATATTTCTCAATTTTTCTCAAATTCTTCCAACATTTCCATTTCTCTCAGCCAATCCCTTTACTGTATTTTATTTAAAGACACAAAGGTGTTTTATGAGGATGCAGAGAAACAAAGTAAGATTTTTTTTAACTCTTTACAGACATTAAGCCACGTTCTGATCTAATCAGTCGCTTTTTGTTGCAGAAGAACCTGATGTAAACTTGTTCCTGACAAGTGTGGCTCTCTACTGTTCGAATTGTCTCCTAATCATTGTCATCATCTTCCTGTGTGTCAAAGTCATTAAACATCGTAAAGGTAACATTAATAATATTACCTTTGAATGGTTGTGTATCAGTTTTTAATTGTTGTGACATGTTTTAGAGTAATGGCCTTTTTACCAGGCGATTAATCTAAATTTGAGATAATCGTACTAAAAATCTGCTTATGTAAAACTGGAAACACAAAAATCCTCTTTAGCTTCTTAAAGAATATATAAGTTTGATCATTTTCTCACCTTTCCTGCATGTAGTGAGCCACATTTGTACCGACGCCCCTGAAATGAAGTATCTCAGTTCTTCTATTTATATAGATTATATAAATATGATGATTGTGAGGATTATATAAATATAATCCTCACACATTCACAGCCCATATTTGGCGGTGCGTGTCTTCTGATTAATAATTCAGGTTACTCTGTTCCGACAAGATATTTTAAGTGTGTCAATGCACATTGAAATGGATTTGACAAAGTATTGCATTCTTTTTATTCATTTTTTTTTGGAAGTTAGATGAAAGTAAAAAGTGTGACAATCAACCCTATTATTTCATATCTATGGTATTTTGGGTGAAAAAAAAATTGGAACTCTCTTCTTCCCACGTTACAATTATGCTCTTCTTTCTAATAGTATATTTTAAAATTCTTCAGAAATTACAATGTCATATTGTGTGTTGGTGCTTTGTTTAAATACTTTTACAGTTCACTGTCAAACTTTATGCATAAAAATATCTCTCTCACTCAGTTAACACTCAGGATGGAAACTCACGTCAAAATGAGGTGACTACAGCTTTAACACTTTGTGTCGCTTGGCTGAGCATCACATGTTTGATTTATTTTTGTCTTTGATAGCGCAAGGTGTACGGTAATAAATGCTCTGGTTGTGTTTGCAGGACCCTGGCTCTCACGAGCTGACCTACGCCTCGGTCAGCTTCGAGAAAGGTGGAAAGAGAAGGAGAGAGGTGGAGCCAGACGTCGTGTACGCCGCCACCAGATAGAGAAGAACTGCAGCACAGAGAAACTGATGTGAAACTGAACTGTCAATAAATAGCAGAGAGACCAACATCCTTCACTGTGTGCATGTCTGAGTTTATATTAGGAATCAGAAAGTGGTTTATTATAACTTTGTGATGAATGTGCTTGTTGCTTATTGAAACTACATTAGTGCTGATAAATATGACCTGCTAAGTTGTTAGGAATGCTTTACTTTTCAAAAAGGATCACTTTTACAAACCCTGAGAGATTAATTGAAATTATTTTTTTATACAACAGATGTGCTTTCTAGTAATATTTAAGGTATATTTGCTTCTTTTTTTTTTCCATCGCAGCTGTATCTGTGGTCAGTAACATGCTCCCAAATGTGCTAAAAATAAAAATTATTTGACAACTCAATAAAATAAATAAATTAATGTATAACTAAAAAAAACTAACAGTAAATTTAAAAAAACAATTAAATGAGAAAAAAAAATGATTGACATATAAAAGGAAACTAATGAAAGCAATAAAATTGGAAATAAAATAGAAAATTAAACAATAAGCACAAAAAATGATGTCAGTGTCCAAGAAATGAACATATTTTGGTGTGAAATGTGCAAATCTACGGAAGAGGATGAGGGCCATTTGGGAGTCATAAATACCTTGATCTTAGTGTGCTAGCTATTAGCACACATTGTTTTTATTTTATGTTTGCAAAGACCTGATGTATTCACTTTAATCATGACAGGAATAAATGTCAAAACCACAGTAGGAGCATCAGTCACTGCAACACAGTCAGGCTGCAGTCAAGATAAAAAGAAGAACTGCACCTTTACACCAGTTTCACTTGAGTGGATCACAATTTGACAGATTTATGACTTCATGTAATAGTTTTAAATATCATTTTCCTGAACTTTATTTAAAGAGATAAATATATTTTATGATGACACAGAGGCACAAAGTAAGAATTATTTTTAAACCGCTTATAGATACTTTAAGAAGCCACTGATCGGTGTAATTATTAACTAATTTTGTTTCTACAGATCAGATACAGATTAATTGCTATTAATTAATTATAGATTCTGCAAATAACTAGATTAAAATATCTTAATCGCGTCCCACCACTACTTTCGGAATCACACCTGGTCTGATATATAGATTAACACTCACTCAGTGTGAGAACTTTTTGTTTTTCTTTTTCTTTATTGCAACACCAGTCATTGTACCCAACGTGTTCAGCTCAACCAAAAGAAGAAATGTAGAAAGGAAAAAAACAAAGTCCACACCTCCTGGTGTTTGCAGCGCTCTGAGTGGAGCAGCGCTCATTAGCGGACGCTGCATTGCTGCAGTCAACACACCATGAAGAACTGCACCTTTATACCAGCTTTACTTTACTGCAGCTTTTGTAAGTTCTGACGCTGGATTAGTAATGGATGGATTCACAACTGGCAAAGAAAGGAGAATGTGTTTCATTTATTTAAAAGGAATTCAAAAGCTTTTTTCAAGGTGAAAGTAAGTCCTCTGTCTGATGTTTCAGGTTCTGTTTTAGTCTCTGGGTCTCAGACGGTGAAGGTCCAGCCAGGTGACGATGTGACACTGGAGTGTAGGAAGAATTCCAGTGGATTATCCTACTGGTTCAGACTGGGAGAGAAGAACAAGGCTGACTGTATCTGTATCATGATTAATAATGACCCTGGCAGTGTTAAAAACTGTGACGGATTTCAGAAGGAAAAGTTTAACATGAGCTCCAACAGCTCCACCGTCTCTCTTAAAATCAAAAAAGTGAATATTTCTGATGCTGGACTGTATTTCTGTGGTGTTAAAAAAGATAAATCCATAGCTTTCAATGTGATACATTTACATGTGAAAGGTAAGAAAATATTTCTCAATTTTTCTCAAATTCTTCCAACATTTCCATTTCTCTCAGCCAATCCCTTTACTGTATTTTATTTAAAGACACAAAGGTGTTTTATGAGGATGCAGAGAAACAAAGTAAGAATCTTTTCAAACCCCTTGTCGATTCTATCAGAAGCCATCCTTAATAATAATTAATGTTTTTTGTTGTGTCTGTTGTTGCAGAAAACGTTGATTTCAACACAAAGTTAATCACGTTGACTCTCAGAGTCCTGAATGTTTTACTTGTGAACGTCGTTGTTGTTCTGCTTGTTAAAGTCAACAGACTACAGAGAGGTAATCCTTTAAAGAATTCATGGTATCTTCAGTGTTTCTTACATCATTATGTATCGGCACAATTAGATCAGAATGTGTTAAATGAAATTTCTGAGCTCTCATAATGCAGCTCATCATCATCAACATCATCATCATCATTGTTTTCTGTCTCTGTTTCCCAGGTGATGATTTGGACACATCCACATCAGACTGAGGTGAATCTACTTCAGTTATTTTCTGTAAGTTGGATTTAGCATCGAATCATTTCTTTTAACTGTCACACAATGTATTTTTAAACCAGCATTCTGATGTACAGAGACGTGTTTCCACCAGATTTGAAGAGCTGTGTGAGTTGAAGAGGAAATGGAACTGCAGCAAGCAGCAACACTGATGCCTTTTCAGCTTCCTGTCTGAATTGATAAATTAATATAGTAAAAAAGACATAAACACACACACACACACACACACACACACACACATTTTATATATATATATATATATATATATATATATATATATGTATATATATATACATATATATATATATATATATATATATATATATATATATATATATTCTTTTTTGTGTGTGTGTTTGTGTCAAAAGAGGTCAAGGTTGTTTTCATGACACATCACCTGACCTGCAGAAGCAGATTTAAATTCTGAGATTTTTTGGCTCACAGCTTTGTCAAAAAAAAGAAAAAAGAAAAAAAAAAACATTTTCATAGTTGATGTGAGGAACACGTCAGCTACCACAGTTCCTCTACAAATAAAATCCCCAAAAGTGTGGAGTGCATGTGTAGCCATCCCCCCTTTTTTGTGATACCTCAAAATAAGGTAGAATACAACAACTCTCTTTAGTCTGTACATAATTAATAAAGATCAAGTGGAAATGTCTGACTTCAGCTGAGGAGTCCTTTTTTTTTTTACAGATAGTTTTATTTCAATGAAATCATCAGCATGTTCTAAACGTTGTTCTGAGAGCAGTGTGTGTTTTGTTGCATGGTGTTTCACAGCAGAACCGAATCCTGCTGCTGAATATTCAACCTCAGCCGAAAATAATGTTCCACTTTCTGCTCGGCCTGCAAACAAACAGGAACATTTTCAGTTTTGCAAACAGCCATTTGAATAGAAATAGCTGTTCACACATTAGTGTGAACAGCTGAAGAGAGGAACTACAGTTTGTTGATTTTTATTTGATCTCATTGAAATAAGTGTTTGGTGTCTTGAACGTAATGACACTAACTCAGCTGTATGCATCTGGAAACAAGTTTAGCAATATAATGACCAGAAGCAAATAAATTACTAACAATAAACGAATAATTATATTGTCTTTCCTTCAAGTTAGATTTATGTAAAACTAGTATGTTGGGCAACTTTGTTAATCATTTCATGTAAGCTAATGCTAGTGCTAATGCTAATGATGTGGACATTCTGTTTGCATACAGAGAGTGTTTCTGTGAGACGGAGGATCAGGGACTAACGTGTTCCTTTTTTCTATTTAACAAGTTCGAAATACAAATACAAATGCTGCTTCTTGCTTTCAGCTTCTATGTGCTTCAAATCTGGAACAAACTTCCAGAAAACTGTAAACAGCCGAAACACTGAGTTCCTTTAAAACTAGACTAAAAGCCCACTTGCTCAGTTGCTTTTGAACTACAATAAATGGAGCTTCACCCAACATGTCCAATGTGTAGTGATGATTTTAATGATGGCACTTGGCAAAATGTAATGTGTATTTTTGGCATTAATAACTGTTGATTATATAATGTCTTTCTGATTGTTTTTTTTTTATGTTTTCATGATGTAAAGCTCTTTGAACTGCCATGTTGATGGAATGTGTTATGCATATAAACTTGACTGATTCATTCATTAAGTGAAGTAAAGGATATAATGTGTATAATAGAATATAGAGGTCATGTCTGTGATGGAGACGGTGTTTATGCCTTACATATTGTTTATCATATTTGGGTGGTACATTTTTTGCATCCCAAGTTATCTTTAGGTTTATTAGTAGCTTCCTGTGTTCGACAGGTTCTTCCTGTTCTGCGTTCTCTTTACTTTCTGTTTCTTTTTTCACAGTTTCTTGGTCTCCTGCTGGTTTTGAGTCTTTCCCTCTGTCTCTGCTCTGTGATTGAATTCTCAGTTGCTTCCATCCTCATACGTTTCTTGTTCAGTTCATCAATTCTGTTTTATCTCAAGTGATGCTGCTCCAGTCTGCCTTCTGTAATTCTGACCTCAAATCGTTTCTGTTTTGGTCCTTGGATTTCTTTTGTTTTGTTTATAGCTTTGGTTGACTTTTTTAGACGTTTGGACCTTGAAAGTTGAAAAATTTTGCTTTTTGTCTTAATAAACATCTTCATTTTTTGCCCCACCTCTGCCTCCCTTCCTGTGCATCTTCCACAGCCACTTCCTCTTTTGTGCCAGAATGAATCAGCCAGTATGAGACGCAGCAGATTACGCTGCTGCAGTTTTTTTTAAAAACACTCATAACACATTTTGTAGATATGAAAAGCAACAATAGAGGTTACAATTCTGGAAAACACCCATTTGGCAATAAAGTGACCAATAATTAGTCACAATAAAGTGGTTGAAGTCTGTTCAAACGTTAAAGGTTTAAACGGACTCCAAATATTTAAGCTGGTTTGTTTGATATGTTATTAAAAAAACATGATAAACACTTAGATTGTTATTAAAATCCCAGGTTGGTTTAATCAAAGGGAGTGGAGACCAGCGCTGGATGCAGATGAGGAAATCAGGTGATTAGGAACAGCTGTGGAAGGGAGGAACCTGGCAAACTGAGGGAAAGTGAATGAGAACCACAAAAGAGCTGCACTAAGAATTAAACAAAGTACAACTCAAAAAGAAGGGAAGAAAACTAATCTAAGAAAATCCAGATGCAGGAAGAATAGAACAAAAGAAT